TATAGAGGGAAGAGGAAAAGATGAGAGATCCAGGCCAACTTCGAGAAACAGAATTTAAAATAGCTGAGCTCTGTGTGTGTGTGTGTGTGTGTGTGTGTGTGTGTGAGAGAGAGAGAGAGAGAGAGAGAGAGAGAGAGAGAGAGAGAGAGAGAGAGAGAGAGAGAGATTAGGAAAGGGAAAGCATTGGGGACTAAAGCTAGACAATCACAGAACTTTTTCAGGTTGTAGCTGTAGTGCAGTGGTACAGCATTTGCCTAATATGTAAGGCACCTTAGAGTTGATCCCAGTCACCACAACAAATGTCATGCTCCCATAGATGTCCAGTTATCCACATACTGGCAACACTAAGTGAACGGAGTGGGGTTTTTAAAAGGAGAGAGAAGAATGGTAGGGGGATCAGGAGGATTTGGAGGGGGAGAGAATGGGGGGATAGGAATGAATTTAATAGCTTGTCTTTTAAAACATAAAACTTTAAAAATTCTTACAAGACAAGAAAATAAACATTCATTGTGCTTTCTCTAGGAAAAGGTAGATGAGTATGAATTCTAGCTTTTTTTCTTAACCACTGTACACAGCTGTCATGTCGCACCTTGATCAGTGTTCCCCTTGTTACCAGAATTGTTTTGCAGTAACCAGTCTCCTTCGGGCTCTCTGACTGCAGTAGTCATGTAAGTTGTGTCTTTCTGCTCCACTCAGTGGCATTGTGTTGGCTGACACTCCGTCCACAGCTGATCCCCGGAGCAGTGATGCTAGCGTGAGACTGAACACTGAGAGTGGAAGGGGAGCAACAGAGCCTGGCCTATTCCAGCCATAGGAGTCAGCTCAGAGCATGCCAGGGAAGCCAACAGCCTGTGTCTAGAAGAGACACAATTAACCCTGCCAAGCCTTCTAAGGAAGCAGGTACTCAGCAGAGTGTAGCTTCACTTGGGTTTTTTGTATTGGTCTGGAACAAGAAGAGGATGGAACATTGAGCATCAACTAGTTCCTAAGGATGAGGTAAAGGAAGATGCTGCTTTAAAGACACTACCCAGGAGGGATCTGGAAAGGCGGTAATTGAGGCAAGTGCATGCCAAGTCTAATCACTTTGTTATCAGGATTTTGGAAGGAACTACAGAACTATTATTTTTATTAGGCATCACTTAGCATGTCAAGGCTTCCTAGAAATGATCATCGTTACTCTTCCAATGAGCAGCTGCTGTGTGCCAGGCACTTTCTGCACACAGTCTCATTCAGTCTTTCCACCAGCTCAGTGAGGCTGATCATTAACACCTTCACTTTTAAATTGAACAGCACAAACACAGTCCATTGCCTGCACAGCTGGGTGCATTGGGATTTGAATACAATTCTGTCTGACTTATATTTGGTACTCATTGTACTACACTGCCATTCCTCAGGGAGGATAAACACTTCAAAAAGCTTTTTCCTAGGGGAAGCCACAGGAAAAAAATATAGTGTCCTGATTGTATTGGTCATAGGTGAATAAGATATTGGTAGTGACTTCATAGTCTAGTCGCAATCCAGTGCTGCCTAGAAAGGGAAGAGATGGGCAACATGGTAGGCCTTAATCTTCACATAATTCTGCGACCAAGGACTTCTTATAGTATTGCTTGGCTATGTTTTATATCTTTGGGGTTCTTTGCTGTGTACTCTAAATTCTCACAGCTGATGAGAAAGAATTCAGAGGAGCCATACTGTTCTAGTTTCAACTTTGTGGCTGTGACAAACACCACTACTAAAAAGCAACTTAGGAGTGGAAAGGATTTTTTTTTTGGCTTGGTTTTCAGTCACAGTCTGTCATTGGGGGAAATCAAAACAGGAGTCCAGCATTAACCTGAAGGCAGGCCTTCTTGCTATTCCATACATTACTACCTACCTCTAATGGGGAATGCAGAGTCAAGGAAGCACAGCACAAATCCTGGAGGACTGCCACTTGATGGCTCGTTCACACACCCACCTTAGCTGGCTTTCTCTTACAGCCCTTGCTCCTTTGTCCCACAGTGGGCTGGGCCCTCCTAGAGCAATTACCGATCAAGACAGCCCCCCACACCAGGCCCACAAGTCAGATGATCTGGGAAATCAGTTGAGAGTATGTTCTAGGGTGTGACTCAAGGCTGTATCAAGTTAACAGTTAAAGGTAACCAAGACAGGCACACACTCTTTATTTCCTTGGGCTGGACAGAACGGAAAAAATTCTACTCAGATTCTGAAGATAAGCCATCCATCTCCTTAACAAGGGGGTCTCACCTTTTCCCCATTCTATGGAAATGTCTGTTCTCTGAAACAGACTTTGGGAATTCTTCTCCTTCCAGTGAGGAGCTCTGATAAAATTTATCAATGCTTTGGGAATATTCTCACTGGGTTTTTATTGACATTTTTTTTTTCATTTTTTTAAAAACAGGGTCTCATTGTGTAACTCTGGTCATACTGGGCCAGGCTGGCCTTGAACTTACAGAGATCCACCTTTCTTTGCCTCCCCAGTATTGGGATTAAAGGCCTGTCCCAATATGCCCTACCTAGGTTCCTTTTAATATGCAGACTAGCTTAAGAGCAAGCCAGCCAAATCCAGTATGGATGGGGGAGGGTCTCATGAGTCCCCAGGCCTAGCTGAGAAGCTATTGATAAATGAATGGTTGCTGAAGGGGAGAGTCACCTTTCTTTGGCAATGTGAACCTTGAAGTTACTGTTCTCCAGCAGATGACCCCAGACTCATATACATATAGGCATCACTACATGAATTCAATGAGTATTAAGTTTTATTAAAAAAATAAAAAGCATCTGAGGTTGGAAGGGAAAAGTGGTAGAAGGGATAGGAGAGGAATTAAAGGGAATGGAATTGGAGATGGATGGATCAAAACACATTATATGCATATGTGAATATCAAATAAAACATTGAAAAAATAAATGCAAACTGCATAGGCTGGGCTACTGGAGAAGGACAATGAAGAATTGTGTCTTTGTTGAGGTTGGAGCTTTCCACCGGTAGGAGCAGAATCCACATTGGTAGCTGCATGTGGTGGCTCAGAGATAAACAATAGACTACTAGTCCAGATGGACAAAGTCAGCCCTCCACTCCAAACTTGGTGACTGAAGTCCGGAGGGTGAAATCTCTGGAACACATGGGACATCCTAGCTATCCCATGCCTCTCATCATCTGTGGTGCTCTCCGATTCTTTAATAAAAGAGCCATGCCAAGGAACGTACTAGTCTATGACCTTAAGAGGAGAGGATCTCCTATTAGAGCCTCTGCATATGCGATTGGCCTAGCCCAGCCCCTGGCCCTACGACCACAGTGCCTTTATGGGAAGGTCCTGAGTATGGTCTTAGGGAGTCCACAACAACCACTCTCCCACCTGAGTCTCAAGACTGTATCTGAACTAATTCGGTCCTCAATGGCTCCCTCGTAACACCCGAAAGCATGGGTGGCTGGGGGCATCAGTTCTACCCTAGTGTAAGTGACCACCTGCTTACCAAGCCAAACCAAACCAAAGAATCCAAATAAGGGAGACGGAGATAAATGCAGCCTCTTGGCAGCCTGCCCTCCCTCTCCTAACGCACATCTCAGATTACTGTCCCTGAGGCTTGCTGAATAGACTCTGTTCCTCTCCCCGAATTCCTCCCTGACTGTGGAAACTTTTGTGCATGGCAGTTACCCTAGGTCACTGAATCCTGACACCTAAGTAGGAACCCCATGCCTGGGCTTCATGCCTAGTCAGCCCGTACACCTTCCCTCCCTCTTACCAGGAGAGCTTCTTTCAGCATTTCAATACTCTTCCCAGTTGGGGGAGGAGAGACGAGAAAGTCTTTTCCCTGGGGCAGGCAGGAGTCTGCACAGAGCAGAAGTCATGTCTTACACTTCTTCCTAACCCCCCCCCCCCCCGTCCCCGTGTCTATCACAAAGTGACCAGCAGCCTGACAGCAGAGGATTCACTCAGTCCTTGTTGCAAGCCTAGCTGTAATTCTCCTCCATCAGCACCAAATAGACCTTCTGCAGTGGTAGCTCTGGCCCCTCCCTTCCTTCTCCCTGAAAAGTCCTGTGCTGAGCTAGCAGCAGCCTTACCACGGCCTGCAGAGCTCCTAACCTCTCTCAGCACCAGCCCCGAAGAGACCTGAAGAAAAGAGCTTTTCCTGTTTATGTACTGTGCAGACATGCTCACAGTAATTCTGTTAGCCAGGTGAAATTCCCAAAGAAATCAGGCAACACATCAGTATGAATCACAGACCATAACACACAGAACATGAATGCGTGTATGTACACACACATGCATATATGTATACACACAAGCCACTTTCCAGTTTTTTGATTAGCAAAAACCACCAGGTTTATTGTAACATTTTCCTGATAAATGTTACTGTGGTTTTTTTTTTTTTTTTTCTTTTTGGTTTTTTGAGACAGGGTTTATCTGTGGCTTTGGTGCCTGTCCTGGAACTAGCTCTGTAGACCAGGCTGGCCTCGAACTCACAGAGATCCACCTGCCTCTGCACCCCTCTCCCCCAGTGCTGGGATTAAAGGCCTGCGCCACCACCGCCTGGCCTGTGTTTTTTCTTACTTGCCCCCTTTGCCCTTCCTACCTGTCTACCCCTTTGCTGGTCCCTTCCTCTCACAAGGTCCTCCTCCCCTTGCGCTTTAATGTTCCATTCATTCCATTGCCTCCTCTTGTCTTCCTCTTCCTCCATTTAGTTCTCTTTCTCCGCTCTCATAGTTCCCTTTCAGTTTCCATGTCCTAAACACACGTTTGGAGGGGCTGGAAGGAGGTGCCTTTTTAAAAAAAAATACTGTGCTCCAGTTCCCTACATTTTCCTTCCTATGTCATAATTTCATTTTTATTCACTGCTGAATAAAATTTCATTGTGTTTATGTACCACATTTTCTGCATATGGCTATATACATATATCTCTCTACTATGACCCACTACTAGGATCAAGGCTAATTTGAGCTTTTAAAATTGCTGAGGACAATCTTTTTTAAAGATTTTTTTTTCTTATTTAATTAAAAAAAATAGGTGGCGGTGCATATGGGAACAGAGCAGGTACCCACAGACGACAGAAGAATGTGTCAGATTCTCTACAGTAGAGTTACAGGAAGTTGGGAGCCATCTGATGTAAGTGCTGAGGATCGAACTTGAGTCCTCTGGAAGAGCAGTATGCTCTCTTAATCACAAAGACATCTTTCCAGCCCCTGACAAGGCCATTCATTGAAAGTATAGTAGAAGCTTGTGATGTAACTTGTCAGAAGGTGAAACTGTCTTTTGAGGAGCTGCCAGGAACATAATAGAACTTCTATTTATGCAGTCTTCTAAGGGCTATGTAACCTAGTGCAAAGAGCAAATCCTGAGTTTTTGCATGGGTTTCTTTATTTATTTGCTTAATAATTTGAAGAGATTTAAATTTCGGGTCTTGTGTTTATTATCTGTAAACTGAGAAGCAGTAAAAGTGAAGCAATAGACGTGTTACTCATTGCAGCAAGGGAGAATTAGGTTAGACCCTAGTAAGATGGCATTAGGATGTCATATAGGATTGGGGTTTGTCTTAATATAATGGTGAGGAGGGCCTCTGGGCAGGAACAGGACTTTTCTCTAGGTTGAGTGCTTTCAGGAAGCAGAGTCTCAAAGCATGTCTATTCTCTTTCACCTCCCTCCCTTCTTCTCCCATCCCCCTGTGAATGTGTGCACTTTATGTTTGTCTATGTATGCATGGATGCACATGTGTATGCATGGGTATACAGATTGCAACCCACTTTATCTGTGCATTTGTGTATGTCTCTGTATGTGTGTCTATGTTTCCACAATGCATGCATGTGCATATATGTGGTATATGCATGTGCATGGGTGTGCTCACTCATGTGTGTATGGAGGCCAGCAGCTGATGTCAGGATATCTTCTTCAGTTGCTTTCACACCTTAATCTTTGGGACAGGTTCTCTCACTGAACCTGCAGCTGACCATTTTGTCTAGGGTGGCTGCTTAGTAAACCTATTTGTTCCCTAGTGCTGGGGCTGCATGCATGTCTTACCATACCCGACTTTTCCTTGGGTGCTGAGGATCTAGACAGTGTTCTTTGCGTTTGCACAGAAGCACTTTACCTACTGAGCCAACTCCCCAGACTTTAGTTTTTGAGACAGGGTTTCTCAATGAACCTGGAGCTTATTGATTCAGTTAGGCTGGAAGGCTGATGAGCTGAAGGAATCCCCCGTCTCTACTCAAGAAGCAAGCATTTCCACAATAAGACATCTTAGTAATGTTCTGCTATGAGGAGAAATATGAAAGCCAAGATAAAGGAGCACTCGTTCATATTAGCAAAGTTAGCAGTTAGTTCAGTCATGTCTGTGGTTTAAATGTTGCTCATATTTGTCTGTGTTCAGAACTAGTTACACCATAGTCTTGATCTTTTATACACACTGAATGGCCTTATTTGATGTTGACATTCTGTGACTTTGTTTAGCAGGGGACAGCGAAGGCTAACTGGTATGGCTAGGGAAGTTCTAGTGTTACGGGCTGCTGCTTTTCTGTCCTAGTTCCTCACTTATGGCCTAGGGTAAACATAGGCAGTCTGCAGGACTGGAATTAGTGATAGACAAGCTTCAGCACCACTGAGATCTTGTTTCCAGAACATAGTCTGTAGTTAGAATGACCTTAGTCTCTTCTGTTCCTTATGTTGCAGGATGAGATGTTGAGCCCCTTCATCAAACAGTGGGTATACAACAGCATTTGAAAATGGACAGAATAAGTTAGTTCATCCCTGCATAAGTTTTCAAAACTTTCAACTGTTTTGTTTATCTCTTAGCATCTAGCAATGGCAAGAATTATTTGTTACGACATATAATTCCCTTGACTAGTTAAGATGTTAAGTGAGGACAGTATGACTGCTCATATAAACCATAGATTCTGAATTTAGAGTAGTTTGCTGTGCTTTCAGAGTAGAATGTTATTTATGACTTTTACTAGGGGTCATAAGTAACCATTCCTGTGGGTTGTACTATTCCTACCATGAGATTCACAGCTTGTATAGTGGGCATGAAGAGAAAATCGGGCTTCCCTTGTGGGAGTTCTGAAAAGAATCCCATGTGTGCCTCACTTTGCAAGTAATTGGATATTTGGGGTAATTTTTTTTTAAAAAAAATAGATATCCAGGTGTGGTGACATATGTCTTTAATCCCAGCACTTGGGAAGCAGAGACAGGCATACCTCCATGTACTTGAGGTAACCTGCTCTACATAGAGTTCACTGTGAGACTTCATAGTGAGACCCTGTCTCAAGTAGAGGCAAAGGTTTTTTAAGACACTGTCCTCTGAAGGACTGAGTTTTTAAAAATATCTAATAGTCTCTAAAAAGTATTCAGAACCTACAGGATAAAGTAGGATGTAGTATGTCTGATGAATACATAAGGAAAGACATAGACTGTATTGAAAGTAAAAAACATCATCTATAACAAATTGAGTAAGCCCTCAAAAATAATGTACTTTCTGTGCTAGGAATGGAACCCACAGCTTTGTATTTGCAACATAAGTGCTCTGCCTCCCCCAGTTACTTAAATTCTTAGTAAAGTTAAGCTGTTCCTGTAAAGCAAGCTGAAGTGTCTCTGAGGATCTGCACAAGCTAACATAGTGACTAAGATGAGGACGCACTCATGTTTAGAGCACAGCAGAAAGTGTGGACGGAGCACTGAGGAGTTTTATAAGTGTGGCAACAAGCTGAGGAGTGATGAGGGTCAGTAGCACTGAATTTGTACAGTGTAGAGAACCCGTAGTTGAGTGGAAAGCTAGCCCTAAGCCAGTTCAAGATTTTACACAGTTTGCTGTTACTCTTATGGCTCTGAGACAAAAGGAACTGTGTCTTTTCTCCTGTATCTGTTGAAAGCCTGATATATGCAATGGCTTCTGACCATTTTTATCAAATAAATACTCTTAGCGCATATGCAGAAACTGTATAAATAGAAATGGAATAGAGGTTTTGATCTAAAATCCCAAGAAAGATTTTGGCACCCAGGTATTTTACAGTCTTTGTGTTTACATTCTCAGTAAGGTTTTGCACGGTGTGCAGTCGCTGAGATCTGTTTCTATTTGCATACTTATAACTGCTTGATGAATTCTTCTAATTCGTCAGATTATTTTGAAACTAAATATGACAGACAGAATTCTTTTAATAGTTGTACTTAACTCAAAGAGAAGCTTAGATAACCCTAATTATCTTTCTACTCTTTCTTTTATAGGGTAAAGTTTTAAATCATTTAGTCATCTCAATGGCCACGTTAGAAAACCCAAAGAGAGCTAAGGCATGGAAAATGCTGTAGTGATCGTATTATTCTTCAGTCAGGAAGGTGAATTAGCAACTTTCTGTTGCTGTGATAAAACACCATGATCAAATGCAATTTACAGAAGAAAGAGTTGATTTTGGCTCCTGGTTCAAGCAGGCTAGAATCCATAGAATGGAGGAGAAGAGATGGCATGCTGACAGGAGCAGGAGCTACCCAATGTTTTTGTCCACATACAGGAATCAGTGAGAACAAACAGTAAGTGAGGTGAGGCTCTAAACCATCAAAATCTTCCTCTGCTGATGTTCTTTCTCCAACAAGGAAGGGTCCACTTCCCAAGGTTCACTAGCCTCTCTCCAGCAGTGCCGCCAATAGCCGACCAGCTGTTCAAATACGGGACCTATCAGGGACACTGTCCCCGCAAAGCACTTGAGGGATGTCAAATTAGGACTCGTTATTATAAGAGACAAGATACATGACATAAATACCATAAGAAAGATTTATAGTCAACATTGGAAAGCCATTCAGCAATAAACAGTGCTACCTTTGTATCAATTTTTAGTTTACTGATCTGGATGTCAAATAATTCAATTACTTTGTGTCAAAGTGACACATGTTGAAATTTTACTTTCTATACTTTATTCTTGTAAAATTTATGGGAAATTAATACTTACTATATCTTTATTTGTATAAACTTATGCATACACAAATATGTAAGCAAAATAGGTTATAATCTTAAGGTTTTAACTATGTTTGAATATTAATGATGTTAATTGAAAATATTAGCCACATGAAGAACTTCAATGGGACATCAGTTCAATTCACTGTGGACAGTCTTGCAATACATGTGGCATGTGGCAGACTGTCATCTCAAAGAGGCAGATAGAAGGAATTTCAAGTGTGATCATTATTAGCTAGAGTTATGTTATAATGGCTATGAAAGATATTTACTGTGCCCTTATTGTTCTTTAACTGGACACACACACACACACACACATATATATATATATGGAATTTCAAGTGTGATCATTATTAGCTAGAGTTATGTTATAATGGCTATGAAAGATATTTACTGTTGTTCTTTAACTGGGCACTTACTGATTATCCCAGCCGTGGCCAATTTCAGAGTGAAAAGGAAAACTTCAGTTGACTCCATGCCCCACTTCCAGACTCCTACTCCACCGTGCAGGGCTGATCTCTCCTCAGAGTCACGCCATGTTTCTGTCTGTCTATAGCATTTCCATTGCTTCTAATAAATCTCTAATAAAAAGATCAGTCTACCTCAGTTTCCTTCTTAAACTTTCAACATGAAACCTTTTGGTCACGAAATGGAAGATGTGGGTCCAAGGTAGAGATAGTTCAGGTGCATGTTGCCCAGCCTCCATTTCTGTCCATGGTTTCCAGACAAAGATCACTAGTAGTACATTTGTGCTTGGTACAGTTAGTTTGTTGCTCACTACTTGAGGGGAAATGCAGACAGTGGATGAGAATAGGATGTGTCCCTTTGCTGCAGTGAACGACAAACCTAGCTTTATCAACTCCAGGTGTATTCTTCGTCATCTTTGACTGATGCTCACTGACAGCACATGCATATGAAACCAGCCAGCCTCTTACTTCTGCCTCTCCCTAGATGGGAAACATCACATTGCATCTCTGGTGCTCAGATTTCTTCTGTTCATTACATATAGGAACAACATCCACTTTAGACTGCTGGGAGACCTCAAAACAAAATTGGTTTCCAAACAATACAAAAGTGGCTCACTAGAACTACAAAGTGGCATCTCCATGAAACAGCTCAGGAATGCTGTGACATAGTAGCTTTGTAGGGGTGGGATTTTGCTCTTCACAGAGAGTTTTGCAGTGCCAACTCTGGGAACTGGCCAGAGGAAGAGGCTGTAGACCACAGCAGGTAGACTCCTTTCCCTCACAAAGAGTTCTTCTACCAGGGAGCAGCTCTCCTCCTACCATCTCTGGTGTGTAAAATATATGTGTGTGTATATATATATTTTTTTCTCTAGTTGTCTTTAATACATAATTTAGTACTTTCTGAAATATTTTCTCCCCAGCAACATCTTTGGGTAATGGAAAGAACACTAGACTTAAAAGAACCAGGGTTGAATTTTATTTAGGTCTCCCAGGGTTACTTCAGAAGCTTAGCTTCAGGTTACTCGTGTGTGAAATAGGTATAGCAACCCTGTCTTATATGTTGATGGATCGATACTGATTGTTCATACCAGGGAAATATAATAAAAACATGATTATTTCCTCAGCTCACATCAAGCCTTTGCTTAAGGAATTTCTTTCCTGTGATATGATAGTGCATGTCTGTGATTGTAGCACTTGGGGAACTGAAACAGAAAGATCTCAAGTTCAAGGCCAACCCCTGAAAAATCAAAATACCTGGTCTGAAAACAATGGGAGGAGGAATCTGGTGAAAACGTGTGGAATATAGTAGGTATGAAGCTAAGATACTATTCGTTAAGAACAAGCGTGGATTAGTGGTGAGCCAGAGAAAAACCAAGAAATGAGAGATAAGAGGGAGGAGCAGGAATAAATCTCGACATAGACATTGGAGTTCACAGAGAAATTTCAAGTGACAATGGAATATCTGGTAATCAATTTTAATTGTTCTTATTGGTATAACATATGCTTCCATTTGTGTAAACCTTGATACATTATGTAAGTTACAAAGGCCTTCATATGAATGAGTTTTTAAAAGTCATGAATCAGGGAAGAATGATGTTCCTGATGGTTCCTGTCATCTTCCAAACCAAAAAAAAAAAAAAAAAAAAAAAAATGAATAGAAGATGAGTTGTGAATTCTGAAGTTTATTAGAAGTCCTAAACTGAACCACATAGGATTCTGAGCCCTTAAGATTTCTGAGAAATATCTAAGGGAAACACTTAACTTTCCTGACACAGGTTAGGGTGGAGACTTAACCCAACTTTATTTGAAATCAAAAGGATAGGCTGCTGCTGTGCTTACTTCTGCTCCAGTATTCACCCAACACAGGGCCCAGCACAGGCGTTTTCCTCTGGTAGCTGTATCTGGTTAAGTGTTTCTAATAGGGTTTCCAGATGAGGCCCTAAGCCCTCTATTGACAAAGCCTACATTTGTAGACCATTCCATTTTTCTACACTTGACTCAATGGCTGAGCAAATGACAAGTACACGCCAAGAAGGGGCGAGAAAAGAGTAATGGTAGAAGATTGTAAATGGCGACCGCTCATTGGTTTCCCAGCTGCCCAGACCTAAATAATCACATAGAAACTATATTAATAATTATAACACTATTTGGCCAATGGCTCAAGCATGTTCCTAGCTAGCCCTTCCATCTTAAATTAACCCATTTCTATTAATCTGTGGATCACTATGAGGCTGTGGTCTACCAGTGAGGTTCCAGCGTTCTTCTCCTTCAGCAGCTACATGGTGTCTCTCTGACTCCACCTACTTTCTGTATCTCTTCCAGCCTGGCTGTTTTCTGCCCTGCTATAGGCCAAAGCAGCTTCTTTATTAGCCAATGGTAATAAAACATATTCACAGCATACAGAGGGGAATCTCACATCAGAAGATCAGTATTAGCAATAATTGCCACTTACTGTGCTATTGCCTAAGCTGGAGTGGGTTAGGAGCCCAGCTTGATTGATGACAAAGTCCAGTGTCCCAAGCATTGTGTGGCCTGTGTCTGGGCCCATCTCGACTTCTCTTACCCTGGAAGAGCTCTCCTAGATGAGAGTAGGGCTGAGAGGCCAAAGACAGGCCTATCAGATGAAGGAACTGGGGCTGAAATTCAGAGTAGAGCATCTGTCTATAGGAAATGATTTTTTTTGTTTGAGGTTCCCTTAGCAGCATTTCTGGCACTTTCCCCAGAAGCCAGCTTGGCTTGCCATTGCCAGCTGACTGCCCTGACATGTAGAATTGCCAGATTAACAAATCAAAGAACACCCAGTTAACATTGGACTTTTGGATAAACGATGGGTTTTAAAAATGTGAGCATGTTCCATCCCACATTTAGGACACACATATTAAACACTAATTCAGTTGATCTGGAATACCAATCCAATTGTGCCTTGTGCATTTCATCTGGCAGCCTTGCTTTGTCTGGACATAATGTTGGCTGGCAACTCTTGAGATAGCTGCTTAAAGTGTAGAGTTCGGGTAGTTCTCTGGCATTGGTGGAAGCTAACCAACCTGTCTTGGGTTCCCCACAAGGTGCACCCAGTTTTCACAGTGAAAAACCTGCATCTTGGAAAATGGTTTTCTTGCTGGAAAATCGGCGGCTGGTGATGGCGTTCTGTTTTCTTGCTGGAAAATTGGTGGCTGGTGATGGCGTTCAGCTTAGAGGAGGTGAAGTCTTCAGAAAACAACCAGTGAATGGTGAAGCTGGCCAGTGGGTCCCGAGGTATTTCACTGTTTCTACCAAGCACAGTTGCTAATTGCCTCTTTTCAAGAAAGGCAAGTTCTGGGGATCTTTAGAAGACCTAGATCTGAAAGGTGTTGGTGCCAGAGATCACTAAATTCAGCCTCTGCCTGTTTAGGAAGCATTTGCAGGGTCAGTCCTCTGACCTGGTTGTTACTACTGTTGATTTTGTACCATAGCAGAGGCAGTGAACTAAGAATTTCATGTCCGTTAGCTTGTATGAATCCTGGTGGTCCCTGCACCCTGTAATAATAACAATAGAAGGACGATCCACTGTGAAATCTGAAGTTAGTAAGCATATCAGGTCACCACTGTTATATCTTTTTTAGGAATGAGAAAGCAAAGACTTAAGAGTTCAATCATTGCCTAGTGTCACAGAGCTGATGAGCTGGTCCTAGCAGGTCTGACTCACCATCAATAGATGGTTGTTTCGAAGGAAGGAAGCTGGGGTTTGGAGTTTTTTCTAGTGATAGGTTCTGAACCAGGATCTTTGCTATGCTTAACAGTGGTCACTGCACTCCACCTTCGACCCCTTAACCTATGTTTTAAATCACTATCCTGTCTGTTCGTATAGATCCCTGAGCATGTGAAAGGCCACTTGATGGCTAGCTACAATCCTGAATGTTGCCATGCAAAGACCTTTCTTTTTGCTCAGTTATTGTGGACAGAGGGATGACTACTAGGGAACCAAGAAAAGTCAATTTCTCCAAGTGCAGTTTTTGGGGAAAGATGCCGCTCCCCTGAAGCCTCTCCCAGCCATCTCTCTGTTGTCCCTTTTATGAATATTTAAGACTGAACAGCTTCTAACCCCAAGATGGGTTTCTTTAAACTTAGATCTGGTGCCTCTTTGTAAGTTCATGACTGTAGAGGGATCGATCTCTAAAGCAGTGTGTTAAATAGACTTTCTTAGGACAGGCCAAGATGGTAGACCCAGTAAAAGTACATCGTGGTGAAGGTTTTCATGTCTTTCTAATGGTTCAGCTTCAGGCAGGCCTGAGGGGCTGCAGGAAACTACTGGAACTGTACTCTTTCTGAAAGGTCCTTCTGAAAATTTACTGGATTCAGTCTGTAGAAGTAATTGCAATCCTTCCAACATTCTGAAGGATGTTGAAGGGTCACCTAAAGAACCCTTTTGGGGGTCCTTCAAGAGGAATGCTTCTTAGACTCTACAGTTTTTGACAGTTACACTTTTGAAACAAAAGCATTTTCCCGCGAGGGCCAGGGTGCCCACTACCTCAAAAGTTAAGCCAGGGTAGAGGTTGTATTAGCATTAGCACCTCCTGATTCAGGGGCTGGCCATCCACCTGGCGTGTGTCCCTGAGGTGACTTCAGCTCCAGGGACCAGAGCCCCTCATCTTACTCCTGGTCTCACAGAAGAAACCCAGCATCAGTGACGTCTCTGAGCAGCAGTAGTTTGAGAGTGGGGGAGCGCAACACAAACGAAAGCCCGCCCCATCCTACCTAGACACAGAGGAGTTCTTGTCTTTCCCTGTACCAGCTCCTAGGCTGTCACTTCAGCCCAGGCGTCTGGGCAGAGCAGCTGTCCAGGCATGGCTTAGCTGGGGCATAGAGGGAGCTAGGAAAGCAAGGACTTTGCGGCGGGTGGGGGGGGGGCACTTGTCCTAAGCTCCAGCAGCATGGCATGCACTTACCTGAGGCATTTAGTTCTCAGCAGGGAAGACTGAGGTTTCCTCTGCTTCATTCTGGCTATTGACCTGATTTCCCGGGAAAGGTTCATTAGCTTCAAGGTTGGACAGTCTGCTCTGTAGCACCCCAACTTGGAGCTGCAGCGTCACAGCTCAGACCCTTCAGCTGGCACTGCAGATGGTTTTGACCACGTTCCTCTCTGAAAGGTCCAGAACATTTTCTTATTGCTTTTGTTGTACCGGAAGGGGTTGACTCATCTCTGTAGAGACTGTCCAGGGCTGTTGTAGCTAGAAGAGGTCTAGGCAGCTGCTAGATCCCATCCCTCGAGGGACGGATGCAGCCTTTAGTGAAACCCGGAGGGAGGCAGAAGGCTTTGTGCTTCTGGCAGGCTACCTCCTGGGTGAAGGACTTCTTGGTTAGCATGGGTACATGTTTTCCCCCACGGAAAGCAGACCTAGGCAGCCACTCCTAACCCCTGCCCTAAGAGGGTTTCCTGAAGACCTCAACTCACCATGCCATCCTTGTAAGCTGTGTATCAGAATCCAGCAGGCAGAAGGGTGTAGGCAGGGTGAATGTCAAGTGGGACAGTGGCGGGCCAGCCGTACCACTGTGCTAAGGGCTACCTGAAAGCAGCAGAAGACACCTGAATGGCCTATGGACTGTTGTCTGACGGAGTTTGCAGATGAAAATTTCAATAAAGTACACATGAAATGTACGCAATTATCAACTACAGCCATGATAAAGCACATGGAATAAAAAGGCTTCTCTTCAGCTCCAGATTTCTACCCCTTTCTCAAGGCTAGGTACAGCCTTCCAGAAATAGACATCCCTATTGGGAATGGTTTCCTTTTTGTCTCTGGCTTAGTCTGAATTTTAACGGTAATGACTCTTCTTTTTCCGACTTCATATTTTAGTCATACCCAGAGTAGCAAAAATAATAAGATAAACATGCATGTTTTTATGCAGGTGTAACAGTTTCAAGTTTGGGCTGATGTTATTTCATCGAATGTTGCTACTACACTTTTCTGGAGTGGGCACAGCTCGGGGATTGTGACATTTGGCCATGAAGATTTCTAAAATAAAGACTCTTTAAAAAGCATCCCTGCACTTTAATCCCAGCACTCGGGAGGCAGAGGCAGCAGATCTCTGTGAGTTCAAGGCCAGCCTGGTCTACAAGAACTAGTTCCAGGACAGGCTCCAAAGCCACAGAGAAACCCTGTCTCGAAAAAACAAACAAACAAACAAACAAAAAAGCATCCCTACAGCTGGGGATGCAACTTGGTAGTGTTTGCCTAGAATCCCGAGGCTCTGAATCAACCCTGAAGCAACACACACACACACACTCAGTCCTGCTGTTACAGCCACACCTAACAAGCACCCAACAATTTTTCTGTCATATGGCCCCTCCTGACTCCCACTTCCTTCAAATCCAACAAGATATATAAAAACCACTGCATTTCGAACATTCACTTTGTACGTTGCTTTGAGGAGTATGAAGGTTAGAAGCTTGGGCCATAGCAGCTAGAAGCCCGCCCATCCTCCCCCTTGCTATTCTTGTTCAGGAAAGAGGCTCTGTATTCAAACATTCTTTCAGAGCAGAACAATTGTCCCAGCAAGTTCCAAGCAATGAATCTGGATAGAGGTATCTTCTAAAGGTAGTTTTGTCTCTTGCCTATTAGGGGGCTCTGGGAAAGCTGCTTCTGTGTCCCCCCATTACTCAACTGGAAAAAAATAAAATATGTTCCTTAGAGTTCGGTGAGCATTGATAACTACAGAAATAATTTTAATTCTGCTGCTGTTATAACTCTGTGCATCTTCTTTATAGGGGCTGCTCCAGTAAAGATGGCCAAGTTTGCAGGCTTCTAAGTGGGTCATGTGGACAGCTGCTTTTTCCACTCTGCTACTGGCTTCTTGGCATTCTTCGGGTGCTCTTTTCCTGAGTTTGTCTGAATATTTTGGCCTTTAAGCTGCTTTCTTTACCCTATCCCAAGCTATTAGCATCTCTCCCTTGTAAATACCCACACAATTTACCAGTCACTCCTGTCTGTCCTTGCATTGCTCTTTGAATTACCAGAAAAAAAGAGTAGCATCCTCTACCCCTGTCCCCTGCCCCCGCCCTCTGTCCCCCACACTCTGCATGATCAAAGAATGTGACATCTCTGGTCCTCAGCCCTCACTTCTCTTGGCCAGAAAGGTATAGCCAAGCCAATTGGCATAAAGTTGGGTGTGGAAAGTTCTATCTGCATATGCACAGGACTTGATACATTGCCTGCCATTCTGCTAGTTTTCTGTGCCAGGACTGGGGGGGGGGGGGACGGTTAAAAGCGGCCACTCACCTTCCAAATGTGGCCTATAATGACATGGTCTTGGATAGGACAAGAAAAGACTCAGCTCTAGATTCTCCAATAGCACCAGATGAGCCCAGGAACTCTCTGGTACTGTGCCTTCTCTGTTTTCTTTTCCATATTCTCAGTGGACACGGAGAAGTGTCCCACCAGATTAGGCACTTGTGTGCTTATAAAGTTTTCAGGGAGAATGCCTTAGCTCAGCAGAGCAAAGAAAAGTTGCCTTCTTTCTGACCTTCAAGATCTGGTACTGTGTGACAATACAGGAGAGAATGGAGGTAGTAGCCAAATATTTTATATTTCATAGATAATTGAAGACAGTCACACAACTAAACCAAGCTATGATCAAGGAGGGCTCTAGGGGCACGACAAGAACAGTGTGAAACACGGTGTTTACTAGTTTAATACAATCCTGCTTTGTTCTTCCTCACAGGTCCCCAAAGCTGGCCGCCGACTATGACCATGAAGGCTGCTGGTGCCCTCTGGAGGAATTTTTGTGCACTGCAGAAGCCCAGCTGGAATGGAGAACATTTTGTTCCACTTACTTAGGAGACCCAGTAAAAGCAGAACCGCAGGAATAGGTGGGGTAGATGGAGTTTATGGGGTTGGGAGCTTCTTTAAGACTTGAAAGAAATCCTCTAAGGATTGTATGGAGGACTTAGAACAAGGATGCAGAGGGAGTGTCCAGGCAGACTGTCAGATGGACAGAGCCACCACAACACACTAGATCTGAGGGAACTGGGAACCTTATGGCACTGGGAAGGAGTGTGACATAATCACCTGGCTGAGTGCCTTTCCTAGCTATTGGCATAAGAGCAAGGCAGAGACAGGAAGATCTGCCCCTGGGAAGGAGGTAGAGAGGGGGTGACAAGAGAAAGAGATGAACTGAACTGTGAGACAGTAGAGATGGTAAAAGAAGAAAAGAGGCCCCAGGAGAATATAGTGGATAAGGTGGTGTCTGGGAGTTTACTGGGGAATTACTTTCTTCTGAGGATATAGTCAGTCCCAGAGATGCTGTTGAGAATAGATAGGTGTAGAAGAGGACTCAGACTGAGCGATTTTCCCTGTACATAGATCTGCCTTGGCTATTTGGGCTACAAAGAATTTTGTTTCTTATGCCTTGCATCAGAATGCCCAAGTTTAGGGTCAGTTACTTGTGCTATCATCCCCTCCTCCAGGGCCATTACTACAACTGCACTGCCGTGGCACGCAGAGTCTTTGTCTGGACGGCATGCCTCGGAAGGCATGGCCTTGAGACCCTCAACAATCAGCCATGGCCTTAGTCTGGTCTGCCCTGGGAAGCCGCTACTTTACTGTTCTGCAAGAGGAATATACAAGGCATATACAAGCATCCCTTCACATCGGGGCTTGTATAAGATCAAAAAATTTGTTCTGGAGCCAGTATTGTATACTGTGTGGTTCTGGACTCCAGTGTAACCAGCCAGAAACACGGAAAATCACAACCACAAAAGACGTTCATAACACACAATATTTGATCTCTTCCTCCCCAGAAAATTTTAGGTTCTGCATGGCTTTCCCCCTCTGTTGTCTCTTATGACAAGACAGAAGACCAGGTTCAGGAGGACATCCTTATTTCTTAGGAGGATAGAGAGGATAGTCTCTGCTCTTGTTATAGTCCCACGACTTGCCCTGGAGCCACTCAGGAAAAGACCCTTGCTTCTAGATCAAGAGGGTTGTGACTGTCTGAGGCTTTTGAACTGAGAGAGAAAATTGACAAAGAACCCACATCGGCACTTAAGGCTCACCTTTTCTAGAAAGTTAGAGAAAACTTTCCCCAGTTTTTCTATTTCTATCACCTATTTGGCAGTCGGGTCCCTTCACAGTCTTCAGAGACCACTCTTACCAGTGTGGACGTTTCATATATTACTCCTGTTTTCACTGTTTGATCTTTTTTATATAGACGTTTTTCTGAGGCAAGGACTGTATTTTTTTTCTCCACCCCCACACCCGATTGCTGCACCCCTTGCCTCCCTGTGCCTTGTCTTCACTTCCACACGAGAACGCTACATTTCCTGGGCAGAATTTTGACTAGCAGATTTCCAGATTACGATAGCGTCTTGTTAATTCTCCTTAGAAATCACCTACAACTTCACTCCGACCTTTTTCTTTCTGAGAACTTGCTTGGTACAGATCTTGCCCTCTCCTTTGTGTCTCTGTTATCAAGCTATATAATCATTATAATTCTAGGAGGAGGAAGAATGCTTTCTGCTAACAAACAGAGGGACGGGAAAGGTTCTGGGGTCAAGGGCAGCTAGGAGTAAGGATTGTTTGGGGCATATTTGGTCTCGGAGCATGTAGGTCTTTTATCCAGACCCCATCGTCAGTGCTACTATTTCACACAGCTTCAGTGTGCTCGATTGAGGTTTGGCACATCAGACAGACCCAAGGATCAGTTGGAGGATTGCAGGACCCCTCCATTTAATTCCCACCCCCAATTCACATTTCCAGATGTCTTTGTAGCAAAATGAAATTCTAGAGAATCTTTAGAAAAAAAGAAAAAAATATGAAACAACTGGAAGTAAAAGGCAGAAAGAGAAGATGGAGCCCTTAAAGAAGGGAGTATCCCAAAGGAGGAGGGGACAAGGGGAGGAGAAGGGGAGGAGGAGAGGAGGAGGAAAGCAAGCCTGTCTCTTTAAGGGGCTTGGCTGTCAATCAGAGAGCCCTTTTCATTGCAGGAGGAGAGGACAAAGATACTCAGAGAGAAAAAGTAAAGGACAGAAGAAGGAGACTGGAGAGACCAGAATCCTTCCAGCTGAACAAAGTCAGCCGCAGAGAAGACTAGCCAGCAGGCTACAATTGGAGTCAGAGTGCCAAAGACATGGGTGAGTCTCAAAAACTTTAGTAGCGAAGATGCAGGCACGGGAATTCAAAAGAGAATTTTCAACTTTGGGGCTCTGGGTTTCTAGTGGTTTAAATAAGTTGTGTTTTGGCACTTGTTTTCTGTTTGTATTAATTCCTTCTCTGCTGTACTGAGCATGATGCTTTATTGTCAACAAATTCCATCAGTACACATGAAGTCCCACAGATCCTTGGAGAGAATGCCCAGCAGGATGGATGCGACCATGTGGCTTCTTACCCTTTCAATTCCCTTCTGCTTTCTCCTTTCCACTGATCTTAAGGACCTGGTTATGGTGGGGTTATCTGGAACCCCTGGTTCCACTGGAGGCAACTTGAATATTGACTAATCCTCAGATGTATCAAATACGCACTTCTGCTATACAAACTTCAGAGCCTGTTTGGCATCAATGGAACGGAGGAATAGGGAAAATTGAACTCAGGCATGGCAGTGCCTATGGTGGGCATTCCAGGTTCAGAAAATGAAAATACAGTCCACAATAGTTTTACCATTGTGAATAGATATGGATTATCTGTTGTCTATTTCTAATCTATATCTATCAGGAATAGATATGGATTGTATGTGTATATGTGCGTGTGTGTGTGTGTGTTTCCATGCAGCTCAACATTTCTAGTAAGTATCATGGACTTAGCCTGAATCCCTGCTGTAACAAGAAGGTTTCTGTCTCAGGGCTCTTGTTGGCTGAGCCCGGAGGGCTTTTCTATGTTCCATAAGTATGGAAGCTGTGAAGTTCTGGTGTCCAGCAGTGTCTATTCAGAGAAAGGTGTGTGCAACATAAGGGTCTTTACCTAGGCAAGATGCTGCAGATAATGTACATTTTGCTCATGTTTGGGAAAGATAAAAGTAGCATCTTGAACACATCCTGAATGAAAAGAGGTTCAATTGCCCACTGTAGTCACCATGCAACATAGTAGCCAGTAAATTGATAGGATCCACAGACGTAGTTTTTCAGTTAGACTGAACTGTTGTTAACCTTGGTTTTTTCCCATCTCAAGTCACTGAGGGAGCTATTAGCAGCATATATGTGGGTAGAATAGTTAAAGAGGGTGGCATACTAGACTAGAAGTCCAAATAGCTCAGTCTCTAATGAACTCCACAAAATTGGGCATGTCACCATGAATCACCACCTCATCATCTGGAAGACAGGGGCAACAATAACTGTTTTGTCTGCTTGCAGGGTGGAAGATGGAGTAAGAATGCTATGGCAGTCCTGTCGATGTAGACAAGTTCTGTATCCATTGTAAATTCTCATGACACCACCTCTTATGTAACAATGCATATCTAGGCTGGTACTTCCTCTTTCCAAGGTTGTTGGGCTTTCTTTGTGCACACCCTGTATGTTTGCGTAAGAACCATTTGATCACCCCCCGAATGCAGCAAGGTGAGAAGAATTGTGGGAAGAAGTCAGTTTCTGCTCTGGACCGGCAACCCTATCTGTTGTGAGTGCAGCTGATTGAGTAAGTTGTTCCCTCCAAATAGAGAGGTAGTGCAAGTTGAATTTTACTTCCTTGGGAGATAAAGCCTTGAAGAAAAGACAAGAAGAAAGAAAATGACGGGGGCCAGATGATTTCCTCCAGAGGAAGGTCAGCACGCGTGCGCGCGCACACACACACACAAGGTATCACTAAGGATGTATATTTAGGTAAACAATACATGTACTAGGGATACATGATGGGGTAGCAATTGCCTCCACAGTCACTCAATAACACAGTATCTGAGGCAGTGTGACTGACTATTCAACCATATCTGACAAGACAGTGACGTGCTATTGCTTCGGCTGTGGAGTGCACTGCTGTTTAATTAACTATTGCAGTAGACAAGTCAAATCATAGAATCTGGAATTGAAAGGAACATTGGAATTTATCTGAGGTGAAGCCATACCTATAACACCCTAGGAAGCGGAGGCAGGAGGATCACTAGAAATGGCCAGCTAGACATCATAGGGAAACTCTCATTCAGAAAAAGTTATGTGAGCCAGCCCTCAATGCAGAATTTATTTCTTTGACAATAAATTAAACATATATAAGTCTCTGCTTAATCACCACCAGAAACAGGCAGCTTATTACCTCAACCACAAAATTTCTTAGGATTGGAAATGACGAGGACTGAATTCAGTGGCATCTGAGCAAAAGGTTTACAGACAGTGTAGCGGCTTATTAAAACCTTGTTCAGACTTATCAGGGAGATGCTTCAGATGAGTCTTTGGAATAACAATGGAAATGAGAAAGAGCCATAGTGGATATTTTCTGCTCAATAACAATGCTATCACTGAGCAGCAAAACATCCACTTCCTCAAGCTTGCTGTCATCCGAGAACAGTGGCTTGTTACCCTGGCAACCAGACTGCAATGCTTCCTTCCCTCCAAGAGTGGCTTGGAAGTACAAAATGTGGAGGAGGCAGAGGAGAGGCTGAGTTCTGCTAGGTACTTGAAGACTATCTGAATCCCATGAAGGCACCACAGAGTGCCCACAGATTTTGACTGGCATGCTAACTGACTCCTCCTAGAGACTGAAATGATAAAGGGTAGCTAGCCTTCACGCACCACTTCTTATCTGGCTCTGCCTAGCCAGGAGCTATTGAAAAGCTACAGAGATTAAGCCATTGCCCTGCTTTGAGGGGCTTCACCTTGGTCCTCAGCCAGGACACCAAGAAATCTAGTTCACATCCTGACAATAGTGTTCTCTCGGAGCTCTCAGTAGTAACATCTTTAACCTAGGGAGGGGGTAGGAACATCTTCAGGTCCCACCCAAACCAGTGACGCATTTTTCCCTGTCCTTTGGTGTGTGTGTCTGTGTGTATGTGTGTGTGTGTGTGTTTGTGTGTGTGTGTGTGAGAGAGAGAGAGAGAGAGATTGAGATTGATTATATAGCTTTGAAAATCATCCCTTGGTTATAGTTCTTTAGTCTTAAAAGAAAAAGACAAATACCATCTCTGCCCATGGAACTGTAGGTTTAGAAAAGCTCATGTCAGGGCTGTAAGCTGATAAGGAAAGGTCCTACGCCATGGTCACTGAACAGAGCTTTCTCATCTTTTCCCATTCACAGACCCTACCCAATGTCAAAGTTACATCAAAGGGTCAGCAAGCAAGTCTTTCCTTAGCCATTGCAAAATACTTAAGAGTAATCTGTCAATGACCTCAGAACTCTTTGCTGTGCAAAGCTTTGAAAAAGAGCCAATGGCATCCCAAAGAAGAGGGTGAGGTTCTGCAGGTCAGCTTCATACTTTAACCAAGGAAAGTGGGGGATCTAGTAGCATACAGTATGGCTACATTTGTCTCTAGTGACAGATCGTTCTTCATTTCCCCACAACTGGACAAGGTAGAGACTCTGTGTGTGTGTGTGTGTGTGTGTGTGTGTGTGTTAGTCTGTTTCTGAAAAAGAACATTCGAAGTAAGGTGGACCAAATGCGGTTCCTGATGGTTGTAGTGGTAGTTACCACTAGTAGAAGCAGCCGTGATAATAATACCTGTCCGATAAGGAGGTTGGAGTTCTTTTTTTTTTTTTTTTACTTAAGTTTGTCTGTATGACTTGACTTTCAAGCAGGCTTGCAATCTCATGTCCCAGTGCCTATTGAGCTTTTGACTGTGGTATAAATGCTAATATCATGCAGGAAAGACAAAGTCATAAGCAAGGCTTTGTCCTAACAAGATGAGACCAGAAGCAGAAGTCTTTGTCTCTGTCGCCTCCTAATAATTGTTGTTTTACTTCTAGAACCAAAAGCAAAAGTTTTTGTCTCTGTCGCCTCCTAATAATTGTTGTTTTACTTCTAGAACCCTACCCACTGATCGCCATCTATTCCTAGTACCAGTCACAGCTGTTCTAGCATCTTGGCCATGTTAATGGCTATAGGCCCTGATCAAGGAAGCCTCTGTTTGTAGGTTGAAGTTAAGGGGTGGATTCTGGGAGGAGGGGAAGACTGCAGTGCAGAGTAGAGACTTAGGGAGATGGGACCAGTTTCTCACTCAAAGAGCTTGCCTGTTGTTTAAGCTCTATTGTACAGGGTTCTTCTATCTCTCCCTTTGTCAGCTGGATCCAAGAGACAAGCTGGGAATTGTGCGGGCTACAATTGGTCTCTTTCTCCCATTCCTTTCTATGAAAGCCCTTCCTCTCCTCCCTTTGATGAGTTCCCAGATTCACACTGAATTTCCATCATGGAGCTGGTCCTTGAGGTGTGCCCGGGGCACGGGAAAGGAGGGAGTGCTTTAGAGCACTTGGCTCCTACTTAAAGAATCAGAGTCAGGACAGTCACTGGGATGGGCCTTAATCTGAGAGTCACAATAGTACTGTTGATCTCTGACAAAGAACACTGATGAGAAGGGACGTTCGTTCTATTACAGATTGCTCATGCTTGCTTGTTTGGGGGATTTGGAGATGAATATAACCCATTATTAACTAATGTCTTTACTTATATTTTCTCCACAGGATTTGGTTACATTCATTTTAACACTAGATAATAGGTAGCTTTGGTTTTCATTTAAGAAATTAATTTGATCTCCCAAACAAGAGTGGAAGCTTTCTGAGAAAAGGAACTTGGACTCTTAGTTTCTTCCTATTTCTTGAAGCATATGTGTTACTAGTAATGCATTTAATGTTAGTGTCCTCAAGCCGCCCCAACACAAAGGAAAAGAAAGCATCATTAATTTTCTCTGTGATCAGTCATCAAAATGAGACATTTAAATCTCATTGAGTAGCAGTTGTAGTATGTAATTCTTTGATACTGACTCCACTACATCACAATTTATACTTAGCTGGGAAATGACAGGATGCCTTTTAACATTCAAAACCCTCTTGACCCTGAGGTATTCTGAAACAGAGAGCTTATGGTTTTAGGCTGTTGCTCACATGTTCCCAGATTCATTTCTTGGATTGTGAAAAATCGAAATGAACCCAGTGGACTTTTATTCAGAATGCTTTGATGAAAAGACAGTCTCTTATATGTTCTGAGTTTTTTCTTGTTGGAATTCAAATTTTGACTTTTGCTTGGGCAGATTAGCTGAGATTCTTCACTTCCGCTGAACTTGAATGCCCTTAGAACAAATATTTCATCTGAATTTTGAGGACTTTAACATCTGATGCTTGTTTTGATGTTGTGAACTATTTTATAACCTAACAGCAGTACATCTATCTCAGGGCATTTGTGTTGGATTCTACATTAGAGAGAGACTTTGCTAAAGTCTATGTCCTTATTTCCTGCTTTGAACATCAGTAGAGCAGAAAGGGGGTGTTACATTATTATCTGAGAAAATGGGTGTAAAAAGATACAGTATCAGGTGGTGATTTCGAGTAGCTCCCAAAGTTTTCTCACCCAGTAAAAACATGGAATGTGACATTTTCTGGTTATTTTGATGACCACCAAATGATTAGGATGAGAACTCATTCTTTGTTTCATCACTTGATGATAAGAGGGGAAACGATCCTAGAGTAGAGGATACAGAGGGGCATGGGCTAAAGCATTGAGTACATTTCTCTGTTTGCCTGGCAAGAGCTTGTGTTCCTGATCACACCTGCCTCACCATTAGGCCATGCCCTGGTGAAAAAGCTGGGGTGAGTGAATGGGCACAGGATGACCACTTGCCAGGGTAGATAGCTCTCCTTACCCTGGGCTAAATAAACAGTCCTGCCATTGTTTACTGGATCTGACCCCCTTCCCACCCCCAGACATGCAGGGCCTTGCAGAATACCAATGAGGCTCCTGAGATCTCAGGAGGAAACAAGGCTTCTTTGTTCAGGGAAGTGATGGAGGGCTGTGTCCAAGGCTTGACCCTTTGCTGGAGAGAGAGGGAACAGTAGGGTCACTGACCTCCCCTCCCCCACCTCAGGCTTTAGAGACCTTCTTTACTAGAAGAGTCTAAGAGTCTGAGGGTGGAGAGGAGTTCAGAGGGCAGAGAATGAAAATGTTGGGGCTGTTTACTTCCAAGTGCTTTTCTTAACTTACTGGATACATGTAGTATCTTAACCTAATGATAAAAAGAAGATTCAATTTCTGGAATGTCTCCCCCAAGACAGTGGTGGGTTTCAGCTGTTTTGCTTTTCTTTGGCATACTCACGCATGCATTGTACACACCTGTGCAAGTGTGCACGTGCACACATATCATAAGCCAGTAGTGCACATCCTCTCTTGCAAAGTTCACATTGAGTAAACTAAGCATCTCCTCACAGCGGCAGAGCTACAAATTGATTGTCTCTCATAGAGGGCTTGAGATTGGAGAAAGCAAAAGGAACCCAGTTCAGCTACATATTTTGGCTTGGGCTTCTGAGCCTTATCTCTTTGAAGTCCAGGATAGGCTGTCTTTTCAGTGAATGGTGGGTAATAGGGCTCACTTATTCTGTGATTCTGATAAAAAAGACAAATGCCTCCCTCCCAACTTTTTCATGATACACATAATTTGATCTTTCAACATCTGTTGACATTATTCAACTTAGCTGTGGAAATCACAGCATTTTTAAGTATTTTTAATAAAAACTGAGCTCATATTAAGGGAATCAGGCAATGAACTTTTATTTCCCCTGGTACCCTGTTGTAGATAATTGAACTTGGTGTGGAGAAATACATGAATATAAAAGTTCAAACTTTAGAAAATTATTTTCATTCTATAATGGGGTAAGAAGTTACAACATACTTATCACAGACTAGTACTTTCTCAGACACATGTTCTGATTGTATGTGCACTTAATATAGGAATAGATGCATAAAAATCAACTGACCTATATATGTGTATATGCACACATTATTAAATATATGTATGTATGTATATTTTATATATCATACACATATGCATATATTGAATTTATACTATGTCTGCACACACTATCAATTAAAGACCTTAAATTTTCATTTTCTACTTCTTGCAGATCTGGTCAAGAGGCCAGAGGGAACCACACGTCCCTCTGTCTAGTCAGTCATCTGCTTGGCACTTGGTCAGTTTTATTTCATATAACACCAGAACTTGGAACATAGCTACTTCCAGAGTCTGTGACTACTTTATGTCCCTTTCTTGTTTCTCAGCAGCACTGGCAAGGGCTGAGAGGTACCTGGTCTGGGATCTCAGGTATTCTTACCACCTTAAGACACCTGTGTTCCCAGGCCCTGTGTGTTCCCGTGGCCCAAGTTCCATGCCAGAAAGCTTCTGTGGCTATTACAGAAAGTCTCTTTGTGGCCTTACCAAGAGAATCTCAGTGTGATCTTGAGGGTACAGGAACTGGACAAGCTGTGGTGGAGCAAACAGGCAAAGCATTGAAAAATAATCAAGCCTTTATTAAAATATATTTTTGTAGAATAGGGCATTAAATACTCCAAAACTGAAGTTACAGGCAGTTGTGAGCTGTCTGACATGGATTCTGTAGAAGAGCACCAAGCACTCTTAACCATCGAGCCATCTTTCCAGCCCCTCCGTGTCCTGTGCCAGTTTCTTTCTTCTCTGGGTTACTCCCTTCTATCTAGACTAAGAAATACACATGTGTGGGAACATCCAGAAACATGCGCTTTTCATTCTGCCTTCCACCTGGAATGCTCTTGCGGTTCAGATTGTGTCTGAAAATACTGACATCTATGGTTGGCACTCTTTCTTTTCAAATTCTAGATATATTTACTCTCAGGAGCCATTTACTTGGTTTCCTGGAATTGTTGGTGGAAAATATTACACCTATTTCATTCATTTTTCTTCAGTAAAGTGGAGATTCCAATCTGGCAGTTTGTACCTTTCTGTTTTCATATCCCATGGACAGCGCTGTGCACATTTATTCCATAGTTGGTGACTGATGAAGCGAAGTCAACAGACTCCAAAAGAAAGGAAAGAAGGGTCGATCTTTTCACCTCCCTGGATTGTTACTTGAATTATTTGATTTCCTTTAAAAGCCCATATGGTCTGTGTTCTGAAGGTAAGGGTTCATTTTTAAGAATGAGACAAAATAATGATTCTGGGTCAGTCTCACATTCCAAAAGCTAAAAGCTACAGGTTCACCTTTAGAACTCCCCAGATAACCACTCTGTGTGCTTGGCAGCATGGGCTGCTCGGCCCAGGGGTGGGTGTGAGTGCATGAGTTACCTGTTATGCATACCTGACTCCTCCTCTCCTTCTTCCCTAGGCTTGTTAGAGTGCTGTGCAAGATGTCTGGTGGGGGCCCCCTTTGCTTCCCTGGTGGCCACTGGATTGTGTTTCTTTGGAGTGGCACTGTTCTGTGGATGTGGACATGAAGCTCTCACTGGTACAGAGAAGCTAATTGAGACCTATTTCTCCAAAAACTACCAGGACTATGAGTATCTCATTAATGTGTAAGTACTTTCCCACTCCCAGACCCATGTCTTTTCTTCTCCTCACCCTGTCTTGGAGGTACCAAACTCATCAGCATCTTAGTAACTAGGAGGGCACCAATGTAGAGCCAGCTGGAATTCCTGACCATCCCTCTGCATACAGATTCTTCCACGCCATGTTGGAAGCTTGTAGTGAGGGGACAATGTCAGGTTCAGAAAAGAGGTCTGCCTCCTCTCGCTCCCCTGTGTTTGCTCACACAGGGTCCGATTTCTGCTCGGTATTTTAGTGTTGCTGGAATCATCTCCACAGTGGCAGGTGGAGGTCCGGTGATGGGGCAGAGGTCTTGGTCGGACACTGTTTTCGTGCACTCAGGCTTAGTGATGTCGCCCCTACTCCTAGAGTTCTTCATGCATCTCCCGGATTGTCTAGCTGATCTCTCCTTTGGAGTAGCACTTGTGAAGGGTCAGGCGAGGAGGGGCAAACATGGTTCTCTAGGATGCAGGCTAACAAGGAATAGAAAAGGGGAAGGGAAGCGCGTGCTTTTGCCTACCTTCTCTCTGGCTTCATTTACTTCAGCGAGGAAAGGTGAAGGAACACAAGTGAAACCTAGTGGTTCCTCTCAAAAATGTCCAGCTACCTCGGCATCTACCTTACTAATGGACAAGAAGACCTGTGCCCTCTGAATACAATTGTCTGGCTTTTCTGTCTGCCAATGCAGGATTCATGCTTTCCAGTATGTCATCTATGGAACTGCCTCTTTCTTCTTCCTTTATGGGGCCCTCCTGCTGGCTGAGGGCTTCTACACCACCGGCGCAGTCAGGCAGATCTTTGGCGACTACAAGACCACCATCTGCGGCAAGGGCCTGAGCGCAACGGTAACAGGGGGCCAGAAGGGGAGGGGTTCCAGAGGCCAACATCAAGCTCATTCTTTGGAGCGGGTGTGTCATTGTTTGGGAAAATGGCTAGGACATCCCGACAAGGTGATCATCCTCAGGATTTTGTGGCAATAACAAGGGGCGGGAGACAATTGGGCGTGAGTCTGTGGCCTCATCCCCACCCAAGGTTGGTCCTCTCCAGAGGCCTGGCTTTTGAGTGAGGAAGCGATGGCTAACAGCCGAACGATATGGTCAGGAAGAACGTGGTGCCTGGCCGGCTTAGCCTCACCTTTCAAAGGTTCCCTAGAAAATTTTATCTCAAACTGAAAAGCATGAATTTTGTAGGATGCTTTATACAATAAGACCATTTCTAACCAATCTGTTGGTATCCCTTTATTTTGTTCCTAGCAGGGACTACAAGAGTGGACCGGATATATAAGAATCTAAAATGCTAGACTTGGAATTGAGACTTAGACACGTAACCTGAAATGGAGGGTGGACCATAGAAATGAAAGAATTGACTTCAAGTCACAGTGTTCTGGGATCCTATACTGTTGAGGGTCCCAGAGAGGGTTAGGCTCCATCAGGATATTTCACACTTACTTTTGGGCTAGCCATGTTTTAGAAAGACATGCCTTTTTTTTTTTCAAGAGTTAAAGATCTTTTGGGGTCTGAATATGTGTGTGGTATGCTGATGACCTTTTGTGACCAGCAGCTAGCTTAGAATGGTTTTAGCTCTGAAATTTAAATCTCCCATTGGCATTGTTCTGTGACTAGGGAACAAAACTCTTGTGGCAAAGAATGTCTTGTAAGCTCAGCCTAAGGCACAAAATGGCACAACTTTCTTTCAGGACTTTTTTATTTTTACTTCTTTACACCTTCTCTGCCCTCCAAATTCCTTGAAGCCCCTCTAACCCAGGGATCCGCCTCACTCCAACTCCCACCCACTCCCCCTACCCATCGTTATACTCTGGGCCAGTTCTCTGAGAGACACTGCCAATGACACTTGGCAGAACTGCCCTGCTCACTAATTTCATTTGAGGGGGATTCCTGGAATCTGACTTTGTTGGCACATGCCACGCCAGGATCTCCCAGTTTGTGTTTCAGGATCTGCAAGCTGGTGCTGATTTGTAACTACCCTATGTCGATTGTTTTAGTTTGTGGGCATCACCTATGCCCTGACTGTTGTGTGGCTCCTGGTGTTTGCCTGCTCTGCTGTGCCTGTGTACATTTACTTCAACACCTGGACCACCTGCCAGTCTATTGCCTTCCCTAGCAAGACTTCTGCCAGTATAGGCACTCTCTGCGCCGATGCCAGAATGTACGGTGAGTTGGATGGGGGAGCTTTAGATTCCCTGGCATCTATAGAAGCAGCATGTACTTGTTTTGTGCTCAGGTGAGGAGGATGGTGATTCTGGAAATCTCCTGAGATGATAAATAAATGCATCTTAGTTTATTAATCTCTTTCCACTGAAACTGAGGTTCCCCCACCCCAGAAAGGGGATATGGAAGCTTTGGCAGTGTTCATTTGTTCGTTTGTTTCTTGGGTGTCCTTACTCCTTTTCTCTGACTGCTGCTACCAACCCCCAAAGCAGCACATTACAATTCTATAAGATTTCACCATTATCAATACCACCTTTGCCTTCATGGAAATTTTAGGGAACAGGACCACACTTACTGTCGATATCAGGCTTACTGCTAGGATAGGGAAGAAGCAGGCCTCCTCACAGCCTCTAGCCCTGTGAAGTTCACTCTGGTTCATCTTTGCACCTTAGGTGTTCTCCCATGGAATGCTTTCCCTGGCAAGGTTTGTGGCTCCAACCTTCTGTCCATCTGCAAAACAGCTGAGGTAAGTGAATGATTCAGGTTATTTTGAAATAGATTGGCTAATAACACAGAATTTCTGGCCTATAACAGAAGTTTCTCCACATGACCATCAATTTCAAGGATTATAATATCTCCTTGTTGAACTTTGAATAAGCAGATTTCCCATCTACAAAATAAAGGCTAAGTATGCCTGAGTCAGTGAGCATACTGATTAAAAGTAAAAGTACCTATTTTCCCAAGAACTGCATTAGAAATCTTACTTTCTCAGACTCCCCTCATTAAAAGAAAAATATATAACTTTAGTAAAATTTCCCAAATGAAAATCTTCATTTTGGTTCAAAACTTAAGAGAATGGGTCATGCATAAAGACATACATGGGCTCTATAAAATACGTTCAGTGTGGAACTCCTCAATCTCCATTGAGAGGTGAAATCAGTATAGTTGAAGAAGAGAAAATGCTCCATCGAGAACAGATATATGCCGCGGAGGCAAGGGAATGAGAGCAAATCCTGGGGAGGAAGTCAGAAAAACAACATCTTTGAAAAGGAAGTACTGACTTTCGGATGTGGGATCCTGGGCACAACTGTAGGAAATGTGTTACTTCTGTGGGATCATTAATCTCGTTTCTGAGTCTTTGGGATGCTGCAGGTGTGAGATGCGCTGACAGACAGGTAAATGGGAGGTTGGCACTTAGGGAAGTGAAAACTTAGAGACACAAATTAACATACAGGCAAGATGTCAACCCGTCCAGAAGACTTCATTCACTATTATAGTGGATCACGCTTTTATTTTCTGATATAAGAAATAATTCTCTCACACGCATTTTCCCGCAGTTCCAAATGACCTTCCACCTGTTTATTGCTGCATTTGTGGGTGCTGCAGCCACACTAGTTTCCCTGGTAAGTTGTTTTAAAATAATATTAGAAAATAAGTGCTCCAGGGATAGCTATTAGGCTGAGGCTAGAAGAGATACTCCTTCCAACTTTGAAATTGGAGAGAGGCTCTGAGAAGGGACAGCAAGGTGTGGGGCTCCATATTTCTACCACCGGTTGTCCAGACACTGGCAGAGTATGGAACCATCTCTAAAAGGATTCGCTGTATCCCGGGATCCTGTATAGTCTAAACATCTTCTGTAGTCGCTAGTGGATTTAATTCCTTGGGGAAACTGGAAGGACATCCTCACGTTAGAATTGTTATGACTTGCTGCAGTCCTGTGCCCTGGATCCTGCAGGTAGTGTCGACTACGGTAACAATGAAGTCTGCTTATTGCTAAGGCACTAAAGGGCAAGGTGATTTACCTCGAGTCTCTGAGGTAGCAGTTAGCTACAAGGAGGATCTCCCAGAATTCTCCTCAGTACCTGGAGGATTTCACTTCTGGTCTGTAAAATCAGTTGATGCATAAAACACAGGACGGCTCTGCTGCACAAAGTAGCTGTGTGTGGATAGCAAACACTATGCTCTAAGTCCCCTAGACATGCTGATGTGACAGCATAGGCCCAGCTAGGGTCCTTAAGGAAAGGTCAATTGTTAGCAGAACTGAGCTGTGGAATATGTCTTTATTGATTAGGTTATCTGGGAATGGGCTATTAAGTGTCTAATAGAAGACTTCTATTCACATATGTAGAAAAAGCCAAGGATATGGTTTTTAGGGGCTTTTTTTTTTTCAGACCATATCCTTTGATTTAGTTGTGATTTTACTTCCACTCTCTCCCTCGTTCACAAAAGGTTTTGAGTAGGGAGACTTCCTCTTTCTGCTCTCATTCGTCTTCTCTCTTCTGTTCCCCACAGCTCACCTTCATGATTGCTGCCACTTACAACTTCGCCGTCCTTAAACTCATGGGCCGAGGCACCAAGTTCTGAGCTCCTGTAGAAACTCCCTTGTCTAATAGCGAGGCTCTAACCACACAGCCTACAGTGTTGTGTCTCCCGTCTTAACTCTGCCTTTGCCACTGATTGGCCCTCTTCTTACTTGATGAGTATAACAAGAAAGGAGAGTCTTGCTGTGATTAATCTCTCTCTGGACTCTCCCTTTTCTGTACCTCTTTTAGTCATTTTGCTCCACAGCTGGTTCCTGCTAGAAGTGGAGAGCGCCTGAGAAGGCGCTTCTCCAGCTGCAAGTCACAGAGGAATGAAAGCTCTAGTTCAGTTTGGGAGCATCTCCTAAAGACCAGGATGTACTTCTTCACAAAGGGCATTTCCATTGAGAAAAACAAAGCAGAAAGAAAGATTCTCAGGGAGAGAGGAGGAATGTCCTTGGTCTCCTTGCCATCAATAGGAGCCAGCTATATTCTCCTTGATGCCCCAAACCAAGAACTCACCCTTATCTTCCTATTTCCATTGAAGACAGAAGCAAAGGAAAGAATGCTAGCAAAGCAATAGCACTTGCTCAAATCTGCCTCCTGCAACTGGGAGACAGGGGTCAAAGCAAGGATCTTTCACCCTTAGAAAGAGAGCTCTGACCCCAATGGCAGTGGACTATGTAAGCCCTAATTCAACCAACCTTACGGCATCAGGAAGCACAGTGTAGACAAAGGGGCAAAGTCTGTCCTTACACCTCATTAGGAAGAGAAACAGTGCTGTCAGGCTCTGCTCACTCCCTTCTCCTTGATAATAGCTACCATGACAACCCTGTGGTTTCCAAGGAGCTGAGAACAGAAGGAAACTAGCTTTCATGAAATAAGACTGTGACCTAAAGAGCAGCAGTTGGCGGAGGCTAAAGGTGTAGCTTAAGATGGCTCTCGGCTAGATGCAAGATAGTTAACTCTTTGGATAGAATATCTTTTATTTTTCTGTCGGTTAATTGTGTCCTCTGGCCTCTGGCATATCTTCACCATGGTGCTCTTTTCCTGGGGTTTTAGCTATTCACTAGAGCAGGTGATTTGAAGATCTTGATTAGTCAGAAGGATTCATGTCTCACCTTTTCCAATTCTTTAGCTCTTGTTGGGAGTTAGATCAGAAAGATCTGGAGAATGAGTTTTGATTGCAGTTCTTTTTGAAAAAAAGAAACCTGGACAGTAAGCATCACAAAAAATATTTCAAACTGTCTAGTCCCATGAATTTATTTGGATTTTCCACAAGCATGCCATTTGTAGAAATCGGCTTGGTAAATTTGAGTCTCAAGTTGAATAAGCTGTCCAATATTTTCTTTTCTAACAAATGACAAATGACTTTACTTGCTAATGTCACCTTGGCATTTTGAGAATTAGGCTTAGCGTAGAGGTTATTGTCTCTTGGTATATATAGGTCACATAATAGATTGTACTAGCTGCCAGCCGTTCATTTGGTAAGCTTCCATGGAGATCTGGAGACATGCAGAGGACAGACAGAAAGAACTAGAAACCTCAACTACCAGATTTCAAGTATCTGGGATTTGTTAACTTTGGGATTAAAATTAAAAAAAAAAACTCCGATCTTGAAGGAAAGGTTATTATAGATCTTTCATTACAGACTTCTGTCGTCCTTATTCCCCAAAATGGTTTCTGCCATGTTGAAGGACTTGATAAGAAGACAGTGAAGACTTGTTCTTGGGCCAGTATGTAAGATAACTAGGGTATACAAGAGTGAGGAGAGGGGAAAGGATCTGTGAGAAACCAATCAAGATCAAGGAAAGTGGAATCATCTCTATCTTTTATTTTGTTTTGATTTAATAACGTAACCAGCTGTTCCCTACAAACCTCACATGCATACACACACACACGTACAAAGAGAGTTAATCAACTGCAAGTGTTTCCTTCAATTCTGATAGAGAATTTGGATTTTAACAACATAAAGAATAAACTTTTAGAAACTCATCTTACAAAATGTATTTTATAAAATTAAAGAAAATAAAATTAAGAATGTTCTCAATCAAACATGTTGTCCTTTGAATTGTTCTGTTTGACCTCGCTAACAAGGACCTTAGTTATAGCTAAGGTGCTCGTATATATTTCAGGCCACGTAGATTGTTCTTGCACTACTTCTATGAAAAATGTAAGTTACTTCTTTTTACACCTAAAGACACTAAGAAATGGATGCAAACAGTTTGCCCAAAGAAACCCAATAAATGCTTGTCTGAACTTGAATATTGTTCTTTGAGACAGGGTTTCACTATGATCCACCTGTTCCTGTCCTGGAACTCTCTGTGCAGACCAGGCTGGCCTTGAACTCATAGAGATCTGCCTGCCTTAAGTGCTAGGATTAAGGCGTGTACTACCCTACTGGACTGAATTCAGGTCTCTATAACAGTTCATTTTGTTTTGCTTGTTTGTTTAACGCTTTATTTTTCTCTTGGGTTTCAGAGTGTTCTGCTTATGCGGAGTCAGTAAGATTTCCTTTCCCAGTGTCATTGTGGTGCCCCAGCACCTGGTGTATTTAGTGTTAAATTATTTTTTATCTTTTCTCAAAATTGTTTAGCTATTCCAATAGAGATACTGTGGTGCTTCCCACATGAGTAATACATAGTTTCACTTGGGAACTGCTAAATGAAAGGTTTGAAGTTGAATGTTTATAGAGCTGGGGAGATAAAACGAGGACAATATCAATTCAATGCGCTGTGGCAGTTGAGAATTCAAACAAATTAATGGTACGCATTACCCTGGGGAGTTTAGGCTATAGCTCACCTACCATAACATGGACAGCACTCTGATGACCAGCCAGAAGAAACCTAACTGAAAATTCGCTGTAGGTTTGTCTTGTACATGTGGCCGATAAGGAGCATGAGAAAGGAGACTTTGGCTGTAGGCAACATGTGAGTCGTCCGTTAAGGAGCTCTATTCAAAAGTGGTTCAATTGCAGCCCCTGATTTTTGCTTCGGCACAATATTCTCCAAGTAAGTCTGGTTGAATGAATTTAAGACAAAGAATAGAAAAATACGTGATTTATTTTTAGACACTAGAAACAAGGGCACAGCACCACGTTTGGGAGAACCGACTGAGGGTGCTACGGAGTGAATGTATTTTTGCCTCAGAGGAGCAAAAGCCAGTTCCCAAGAAAGCTGTGTTTTCCATCTGTCCTTATTTAGTTCTGCCCTCTGGGATGGAGCTATAGATGGAGTTTCCAGGCTCTCAGAAGCTGAGAGCCTCTCTAGTTTATCAATTGAGCCCATTGTTCTTAGCTGCTCTCCCACACACCATAGACCTTCATTCTCTGAAATGAAAGAGCTCTCTTTGTACTCAGATCAGCTAAAAATTAAAATACAGCAGTAAAAACAAGAAACATTTTCTTACAACACCAGGGTCAGTATTGAGTGCATTCTTACTGTGTGTGGAAGCCGCCCCTTTCTTTCAAAGAGACATGCTTTCATTCGCTATACATTCATTGAGAAAACAACTTTTTGCTAAACCCTGGGAAGTTCATGTTTGGGGGCTTTGTGGGTAGAAGGATCATACCGACATGGTCTTACACTCAAGGATCCCTCTCACCTTCATGCATAGCAGAAGGGTCTCCCAGAGCGGAGGAAGGGAGCATGAAACATCAATCTGGTTGGTTGACTGCGATGAGTATCTGATTCCCGCCTTCAGGATGTGGGAGGGGCAGTGGTTAAGGGTCATGACTTCATGTGGCTTCGGTTTTCTGGGACCTTGATAAAAAACAAAACTTCAATTTAGAGTCCTTGACAACTTGTGACTTGCTTTATGTCACCCTGCTTCTTGCCTTACATGTGACAGCATTTATGCATACACTGGCACAATGCCTGTTCTTCCTCCCACCCACTTAGTCGTGTGAGGAGTCAGAGGGCGTGCGGATCAGTATTTATGTGAACACGAGCTATTCAGCCTGCCTCTTTCTCTCAGTCAAGGCTAAATATGAGAAGCCAAGGAAGAAAGGGGTCACATAAAATAAGGTAGAAATGCCAGTACATGTGTAGAGAAAAGGTTTGGTATGATACTGAGCATTGAAAGCTGTTTAATAGCCTTGAACTCTTTTGCTCACCAACATGAAAAGTGTTCAGCTTAATTGACTGTGTATGTATTATGGGAAGCACTGTCTTGAAAACACCAGAAAAGAAAACCACAAAGTTGTAGTCTAAGGGCTGCAGTATTGAAAACAGTCTAATCCATACATGAAAATTCACAGCTTGTTTGAGTCCTAATACATGAATGAACTCACATGCAGAACAACTTTTTAAAATGAAGGGCAATATGACCTTGTGTCCACATTAACACAAAATGAGAATGTCACATAAGTATCATCCTTTATCAAGAACTAATGACGGGGCTGGAGAGATGGCTTAGTGGTTAAGAGCATTGCCTGCTCTTCCAAAGGTACTGAGTTCAATTCCCGGCAACCACATGGTGGCTCACAACCATCTGAAATGAGGTATGGTGCCCTCTTCTGGCCTGCAGACATACACACAGACAGAATATTGTATACATAATAAATAAACAAATAAAAAAAAACTAATGAACAAACGTTGTCCTCTAACCTCCATAGGCATGCTGTGCCACCTGCATATACCCAAATGCACACATTATTCACATAAGCATGTGAATAATTATATATTCACATGTAATATGGAAATAATACAATTATTAATTTTTATAATAATATAAATTATTAATGTAAAATGCAATATTGTAATGTAAAAATTGAAAAGAAAGCAAAAAAGTTAAAAGGGGTTCAGAACAATAACTTGGCAAGTGAAACCATTAAGTGTACAAGCCAAATGATCCCAGTTTGATCCCTGGTTCCCACATTTAGGTGGAAGAGGACAGACAACTGACCCCACGAAGTTGCCCTCTGACTTACCAGTGTGCACCATGTCATATAAGTGTGCATACTCTGACATACATCATGCATGCACATGTGCGCTCGCATGCACACACACACACACACACACACCACAATAATAGCAAAGTTTAAAACTAAGAATTGCCGGGTGGTGGTGGCTCATGCCTTTAATCCCAGCACTCAGGAAACAAAGGCAGGTGGATCTCTGTGAGTTCGAGGTCAGCCTGGTCTACAAGAGCTAGTTCCAGGACAGGCTGCAAAGCTACAGAGAAACCCCGTCTCGAAAAAACCAAAACAAAACAAAAAACCCAAAGAATTTCTACTTATAGGAAGACCACATTGCCAGATACAAGTGGCTCTGCTAATTATTGATAGAAAGAGAACCTTACATATTATTTTTTAAATCAGTTTGTCATTTCAGTGTTCTCTATTTCTTGCGTGAAAACATAAATCATTCTGTAGAGCAAGTCCCTCATGGTCTTTTTCTTCAGCTCGCTTACCTGGGAAAACACGAGTAATGATAAATCTCAAAGGAAGCTGTAGGACGGGTGTTTACTGAATTTGTGTGTATGTATGTGTGTTTGTTTTAATAGCTGCAGTGATTTTGACAGTCTTGATATTTTTCTCAGCCTAAACAATTTTAGTCATACTCTGACATAGTAATATTTTGATGGTTATTTGTCTCCGTGTCAAAGAAAACACAAAGTAACTGTCTAAAGATAATTATAACCCAGTCCATAGGCAACCAGTTCCAAGTATAATAACTGCCCTTGACCAAGTACTCGCACAGCGTATCACACCTTAGTAAGGCAGAAGCAAGTTCTTGCTGGACTGTGTGTTTCAGTTATTTCTACTCCCATACAGGGATGGTGCTCTTATCCCAGCTCAACCTACTAATAACTTCTCCGTAGAACAGAGAACAGCTGTATCAGGCATTTGTCAGTGTGTTACTTTTCTCTGGCTGGGTTAAAACACCCTGACCAAGGCGACTTCCAGAAGGGGGCGCTATTTGGGGCTCAGGTTCCAGAGGTTTAGAGTTTGTAATGATGGGGACGGCGTGGCAAGCGGAACAGAAAGCTGAGAGCTCAGATCCTTGGCCACAAGCATGGAGCAGAGGAGTGGTCTGGAAGTAGAGCGAGGCCATAGAATCTCAAAGCTCCTTATTGGTGACCTTCTCAAGCAAGGCTGCGGCACCCACGGCTCCCCAAACAGTACGGCCAGCTGGAAACCAAATGTGCAAGTACCGGAGCCTGTGGGGGACATTACTCATCCAAACCACGGCAGTTATAAAGTAGAAAAGCAGTGACTGTAGCTCAGTTCCTTCCAAAACTACTGAGAGAAGCAAAGAACTGCTGTCGGCTCATTTTTCTCAGCAATCTTCAAACATCCTTTTAACTGTGCAACCCTACTAAACATGACTTTGCTGCTTTACAGTGTGCTGTGTGGATAAGCAGCTGAACAGAAACCAAATTTTAGGAATATATATACCAGGATGACTTACATATACATTAAAATTTTGGGTTTTCTGTGTGTAATCTTATAAGATGCATTGAAATAATATCTCACTAATCTTTCCGATAGTAACAGCATATCCATATACTGCTATACTAACATTTAATATATACTATTTTAAAGTGTGAGATAAATGTGAAATTGTTTATTAAATATGTTCTCTTTGGTGGTTATAGAATGTACTCTTAAACATGTTATTATTAGTATTTTAGTGAGGTCAGTATGACTGATTATGCTTCATTAATTATGAAACAATACTTTATTATTCAAGAAGGCTGAGTTCATTTTAAACTGACATTTATCTTGAATGGTGTTATAGCTGAAAATGAAACCTTATAAAAATTCATGTATCTAAATAGATGCATGTTCTCAGAAAATTGTGTCACTGAATTTTCAGTCTTACTGCACATTTTAAAGATATTTTGCTGAACTTTGATTTATTAAATTTCATTCTCACCGGGCGATGGTGGTACACGCCTTTAACCCCAGCACTAAGGATGCAGAGGCAGGTGGATCTCTGTGAGCTAGGCCAGCCTGATCTACGAGAACTAGTTCCAGGACAGGCTCCAAAGCTACTGAGAAACCCTATCTCGAAAAACCAATAATAATAAGAAGAATAAGAATAAGATGA